CTGGACTCGACTTCAGAATAAAAGCAGACCCCTCCCACTGGTTTCCACGGTGAAGAACAAAATTAGACCAGTCGAGCTTTTATTTTGAAAAGACTCAGAAACTCTGACTTCCTCACGTTTGACCTTCTCTGGACTTCAGACACTGATGAAGGAGGCCGCTCTCTAAAGGACCAATCAGGAGGGCTCAAACGCCTCCCTCAGGACCTGGAGGACCTGGAGGACCCCTAGACCTCAGAGACTCTGTCACAGAGTCCTGGTTTTGACCTGGACCTGCTGGGCTCAGGAAAACCATCAGGGCTCAGACTCGGGGTCTGAGTGGGCCGACCAAAACCCCAGCTGCTCCAAGGTCGTCACATGACCAACGTGAGACACCAGCAAGACCAGGACTGTACTGAACCACACTGGGTTCTGGTCTTGGGTGGGGTATCAGACACTTCAGTCCAGACGTCCATGAGGGTTTTGAAGTCCTCATCATTTTGCTGAGTCAGCTGATCAGCTGATCGTCACAGGAAACGACAGAAGGTCATGAACTTCTGAGTCAGCGAACAGACAGAGGCTTTGATGGGTGGGCGGAGCCTGAAGTGGCAGAACCACGAGGAAACCAAGAGCGGGAACGGGACGCCGGGGGTCGAAAAAGATCGAAGGATGAGACGGTGGGACGATGAGATCGAAGGATGAGACGAAGAGACGATGAGACGAAGAGACTAAGAGACGAAGAGACGAAGAGACGATGATAAACTTCAGTTCTAGTGACGGATTATTCCAGACCGAGCCTCTCCTGGATCTCAGGGTCCTTTTGGAGTCATTGCTGGTTTCTAGATTGACTGGTTCTTCTGGGTTCTGGTTTCCTGTGATGATGGACTGGACTGTGGTCTGGGTCCTTCTGTGATGACCCGGTTTGTTTTGGTCTGTTCCTGTCAGAACTCCTGGTGAACCTTCAGTTTCAGGTTCTTTATTGGAGGTTCTGTCGGTCTGACTGGACTCTGAACTCACCTGTGGATCTGGGTCAGTATCAAACCTGGTGCTGAAATCAAACATCATGGTGGTCATGGTCTCACCTTGTCCAGGACCACGTCGCTGATGGGGGGGAGTCCCTCGGGTTTCTGGATGCAGGCGGGCATGAACTGAAAACCCAACAGGAAGTCCCGGTTATACTGACGCTTCCCGGAGGACTCGGCCAGGTCTGCGGGACAGAGCGGAGGTTCAGGAGAAGAAGAGCAAAGAGCAGACTGATGGGGAAGGTCACACCAAGGTCACACCAAGGTCACACCAAGGTCACACCAAGGTCACGCTGATGCACTCAGAAATAACTGACCGTCAGTGTTGTAAAGTCCTGATCGTATCTGTTCCTAAACATCTGAGGAACGTCTCACCTTCCATGTCCTGTGGAGCTCCTGTGGAGTTCTCCTTGTCTCCAGGTGTGGCGCCGCTGTCGCTGCTCTCCGTCTCGGAGGTGTGACCCGCTCCGTTCCTCATGGGCTCCATCTCCGCCTCGCCGTTCTCCTCGGGGACCGCAGGTTTCCCGTCGGTCTCCGGGCTGCAGGAGGGAGCAGGAACAGGGCTGGGGGTGAAGACCGATGGTGTCAGGGGGACCGGGCTGCTGCTCCGAGGTTCTGACTGCAGGCTCTGATCTCCTGCAGGGTGGTCTACTGGCCTGGACTCGTCCTGTGTGGGTGTGGGGGGGTCAGACTGAGTTATTGTGTTTTAAAATCACATTTTTATTAAATATGAACTTTAATGATCATGAGGATCGCTGCAGCTCCTCACTTTATAAAAACTCTGTCTGTGATCATCAGAGCTGAGAGGACGAATAAACCGACACGCGAAGGAAAAGAAGGTCATGAAAATAAAACTGAGAGTAAAAACAGACGAGAGACAAACAAACGGAGAAACTGGAGTTTGATTCAGCGTCTCTGTGGAAAAGTTTAAAAGTGTTTTTAAATCTGATCTAAAGACGTTTCTCACTCATGATCGCAGCCGTTCGTTCTCCGTATTATTCAGATTTCAGATCCTGGTTCCTGTGAGACGGACTTTCTTTAACGTCATGTCCGAGTTTTTCTGATCAATGAAGACAACTGTGATCAGATCAAAGAGTCTGACCACGAGGTTTGAGTTTGACAAAATTAAATAAAGGAAGAGAACTTCATACTGAACATAGATATGTTCTAGTTTAGGAGTATAGATATACAGAGTATAGAAGTTAATCAGTTAGGTATTAAAGCCTCTCAGTCCACAGGCTGGGGGGGTATTTTTAATATTTCGTGACATGAACTGAAATTAAACCGCTGTGACTTAATGCAGACTCAGCACTAAATGCCAACATAGCAGACATGACCGCCACCGCCGCCGCCGCCGCTCCTCAAAATGACTGAAGCTTCAGCTGCTGCTGCTGCTGGACGGCGGTCTGTCAGATCTCCTCTTCTTTCATAACTCAAAGACATTTCTCTGTTTCTAACTCGCTCTGACTCTCACTCTACAGACACTCACCCGTCGGACTCACCCGCTCAGGTATTCACGGCTTAAACGTGGAGGACACAGTGGAGGACACAGTGAAGGACACAGTGGAGGACACAGTGAAGGACACAGTGAAGGACACAGTGGAGGACAGCTGATTTAAACTGATCTTAGTTTTTAGAGCAGAAGTTTTCTGAACATGGACTGAGGTTTAGTTTGTTGATGTTTGACTAAAAGTGTCGACACTTTTATCTACAGATGAAACGAGAAGAAGCTCGATGGAGATGAGCTCCTAAAGAGGAAGTCAAGAAAACAGGTTTTTACATCCAGCCATAAAGACGATCAAAGATTCTCTGCTGTGGAGCTCAGATGAAAACAAAACAGCCCAAAGTCATTTCTGTCCACTTCCCCCCCGAGAAAACCAGCGAGCGAACAACCGAGCGGGCGGGCGGGCGAGGGACAGACAGACTCTCGACCGCACATGTGGAAACATTTTCAGCTTGAACTATCGCCGGCATCAGGCCCCTCCCCCCCACTCTGATTCTTTCAAGGTTTTTTTTTAACACTTTTTTTTCTGACCTTTTTGAATATCAGGTGACAAATCCTTACAAAAGGTCACAAAAGTTCATCTTTCTGAACGAAAGGTCGATGAAGCGACAAACGACCACGACAAACGACCACGACAAACGACAAAGACCACAACCACGACCACGACAAACGACAAACGACAAACGACCAAGACCACAACCACGACAAACGACAAACGACAAACGACCATGACCACAACCACGACAAACGACCACGACAAACGACCAAGACCACAACCACGACCACGACAAATGACCATGACATTTCCAGACGTTGAATTTTCAGTCGTTGAATGTTCCCTCCGGCCGTGTCGGTCGTCTTACCTCGTCCTCCTTTTGAGTCGCGTCTCCAGCAGAGATCCCTTCATTTGGTTTCCTCCAGGTCTTTGGTAACGCAGAAGCAGTCTGATTAACTGCAGAGAAACAGTCGGTCGGTCAGTCAGCAAACAAAACAACAACTTCATTCAGAGTTAAACTGAGTCTTCAAAGCCGTGGAGAATAAAAACAGAGAATTATGTAAGATACTTTAGAAGAGCGGACTGAACTGTTCATCCATCGTTTTTAGGGTCGGTAATACCCGGTACACCTGGTAACATTTACAGACTCTTTAATCATCTTAATTTAATGTTTCCGTGAGTTTTTCAGTGACAGCAGGAAACTAAAGCCAACATTAAAAAACAGGAGAGAAACTTTAAGATTTAAATCCAGTTTATAAAGTTTAAAAGACTCTTAAGTGTTATTTAAAAAGGTTTGAAACAGAGCAGAGACAGACAGATGTTATACCCTCCCACAGTCCTGATATTTTATAAAGTATTATTATATATTTAATATCATCCTGTTATCCTCCCTGAACCGGAGATCAGAACACCTCCTGATGGAAAACAACTTAAATATCTGTTTTCCTGTTTTTGCTCAGAAACATTCAGACAGATTCATCTCGTGGTCACCAGAGGCCCCGCGATTCGATATCAGTGATTTTTTCAGCTGTTTAGTTTATTTAGTCTTTTGTTGTAAAAATCGTCTCTTTGACCTTTTCTCTATTTTTGTTCATGTCAACCTCACCGGACAAACAGCTGATTTAATTTGACTTCATATTAGTCATTAATTTGAACTAATCAATACTCTTTCTCCTGCCCCCTAGTGGACGGAGGTCTTCTGTCCTGATGGAGCATGTCCGATCTTCAGGTGTCAGTTTAGAGGAAATCTAGTCTGCCTGTTCTGATGAGGAGAACCTGAAAACGCTCCAGAACCTGGACCCTCATTAAAGACCGGACTGTCAGGGGTCCTTTGTGGGGGGTTTAAACCTTCTGTGAGGGGAACCAAATGATCTGGACTACTCTAAACCTGGACTTCACAGCTGTAGGAGGGGTTCACAGATCCAGTACCTGTAGTGGGACTCCTCCTGATGAGTGCTTGTTGTTGTGGTTCTGGTTCTGGTTCGCTGTCGTTAATGCCTCCTTGCGCCTCCGTTCCCGCTCTGAGGACGAGGTCTTTAGTGTCTAACGTCTTGCTGGACTCGTCAGCCTCTGTCGTGGCCTGCACTAGAGGTGGGAGGCCGGGGGGGAGCGTGATGGGCAGAGCGGGGGCGGGGCTTGAGGTCAAGGTGACCGGCACCACGGCTACGGGTGCCATGGGGGCGAGCGCAGCAGCAATGGGCACCTCCGGCCTGACGTCAGAGGGCAGAGTTTCCGAGGAGGGGGGGGCCTCTCTGTACGCCGGGGCAGAGACCGCAGAGACCGCCGGCTGGAGTGAAGCTGTGGACTGGAGCGACGGCTCAGGAACCGGAGCGTCCAGATCAGTCCCAGAGTCCGCAAGGCCGTTTAAAGCCTTTGGAGCCGGCGAGGCCGCCAGAGTCTGCGGGGCGTCTGAAAGAGGCTTGTCCGTGGTGGGGGTCTGAGGTGATGCCAGGGAGGGTCTGAGCTCCCCGAGTGAGGGGGAGGGAGAAGAGGCTGAAGACGTGGACTCCCTGACTGAGGGCCGTTCACTTTTATTGGCCGCTGAGAGAGGGAGCGTGACGGGAGCGGACATCGCTGCAGGGAAGGGAAGCTCGGGTTCAACAGCGGACGTGGACTCGGGTTCAGGAGGACTGGACTCTAGTCTCTCCACAGGACCTTCAGGCTGAACCCCCAGACCTGGTGAGGAAGACTTCACGACCACCGGCTCCAGTTTTGGCGTTTCCTCTGAAAGATTTCCGACAAACACGTTTAATTCATTTATGAAAGAGAGAAAAAACAAGTTTGTTCAGTTTAATCGCTCTCAGAGGAAAACATGATGAAGTATCAGATTCAGAAATACTCAAAACTACAAACCAACCAGGGCTCTGAAAACTCTTTAAAATTCTTTGAAACTCTTTAAAAATGCTTAAATAATAATAATAATAATAATAATGCATCAGATTTCATATAGCGCTTTATCAGAGACCCTTTAAAACTCCTAAAAATTCTTAAAAAACTCCTAAAAACTCTTTAAAATTCTTAAAAACTCTTAAAACTCTTTAAAAGGAGTTTTGATTTGAGTTGAAAGTAATGGGAGTAAAATGATTTTCTGCTCCTCGGGTTAAAAGGGAACATATTCATCTTTTAATTTCTTTAGTTCTGCCTTAAATAAGAATAAAAAAACTCTGTTCTCTGAGGTTTTATTTCAGAGGAGGGCAGTAAAGACGTTTTTGACTGAAAACTTAAACAGTTAATTAAAGTCAAAGAAACAATGAATTTAAGAATCAAACTCTGGAAAACGGACTTTGGGTTTATGTGAGTCCTGGTTTTGTGTTCTATGAGGTCAGGTTAGTCCAGGTGGATCTAAATGTAAAGACTGATCCTGTTTATTGAAGGATGGTATGAGAGCGCAGTTCAGAGAATAACCTGAAGAGGCGCTCTTTCAATGTAAATCTCAGTTCTCAGAAATCCGGGCTGCTGTTCAAAGACCTCAAGGTTGGAATAAATGAATCAAGTCGTGAATGTAGACGATTGGATTGACCTGAAGAGAAGAAGACGAGTTTATTTATTTTTAACTTTAAAATCTGTTTTAAAAAAGGAAGAATCGTCCGAACATTCAGGGTTTGATAACTCAGTTTCTCTGGTGTGTCAGACAGCATCTTAAATCTGGTTTAAGCGTCTCCTCTGACAGCAGAGATTCTTCCAGAACTTTCTCTTGGACCGGGTTTTCTGTTGCCGCTCATCACTGGGAAAGCTGAGCGCCGTGCTGACACGCTCTTCGGAGGAAATGAAAGTGAAAGTGTTCACGTGAGCGAGCGTCTCTGTGCTAAACTTTAGGAAATGATGGAGTGACGGATGTTTTTGTGGTTTCTGCTGAAACTGAAGCGGGTCCGACAGAGAGCAGGATTTAGTTCTGAGGTCTGACTGAGACGATGGAAACGGACCTGGACCTGCTTTGGTGTCTGAGGCTCCAGTTGTTAGTGGCTGTGGGGGCTGCGGTAGCTGTGGGGGCTCCAGTGTGTAACCCCCGGGGTGGGCCTGCTGTGGCTGAGGGGGCTGCGTCTGCTGAGGCGTCTGCTGAGGCGTCTGCTGAGGCGTCTGCTCTGGAGTCTGGCTGCTGCTCAGCTGCTGCGATTTGAGGTAGAAAATGTGAGGATAATGAGGGTGCGGCCATAAAAACTAGCAACACAGAAAACCAGAGAGAGAGACGGGCAGACGGAGATGTAAGCAAGCGCGCAGACAGACCAATAAATTTAATAAACCAACAAACCAACGAAACAACAAATCAACAAATCAAGGAGGCAGCAGGAAGCAGAAAAGAAGAGGTCCAATGAGGAGTATTTAGAGGATCAGCGATGAGGACGAGACAAAAGGATGAAGAGAAAGAGAGGGAGGGATGGGGGGGGCCTCAGGACAAGTAGAAGGAGAAATAAAATGATGGAGGGAACAAAAACAGAGAAGAAGAAGAAGAAGAGGAAGAGGAGGAGGAGGAGGAGAGACACTGTTAACATCCACAGAAGGTCGAAGGAGGAAGAAGACGACAAAGTCACACTGTCCTTCTTCAGAATCCAGACTGGACCCAGAACAGAACTGGGCCCGTTTACGGTTCAACCAGGTCTCTAAAGGGTCAGTGTCTACGTCTGCAGATGTTCATGTTTGGACTTTTGAAAATGTGGAGACTCGAATCATTCAGGAATATTTATGTTTATATGGAAATAAATAAAACAATTACAGAAACCAAAAAACTGAGAAAAAGTCATATATATATATATATATACACTCACATATATATACACTACAGGCTAAAGTTTGGAAGAAGATCAGATTTGTACAAAAAAAGATCATAGTTTCATATAATTTTCAACACAGTAATGATGACTATTATGTAAAGAGTAACTGATCTGAAGACATTCTGACTCTAATTCTGAGGTCTTTGAGTTTTTGTTGTTAGACTGTCTTTAAAGTTACCTCCTCTGGCTTTAACAACAGCTCAGCATATACCAGGCATTCGTTCACCAAGTTTTCTAAGGTCTGTTCCAGGGATTACATTCAAGCTTTCTGAAGTTCATTAAAAAGAGACGCTGATTCAAGGGACGAGTTTTTCTGACCGATCGATACGATTCATCCACACAAGCTCAGTTGGAGAAAGGTCTGTAGACTGAGGGGTCCAAACCATCTTTTGAAGAACACCTTCCTCTTCTCTTTTGTCTCGGTAACCCTGACAGAGCTCGGCAGAGAGCTTAGGGTCATCGTCTTACTGCAAAATAAACTTATGAGCCACAAGTCTGAGTCCAGATGGAGCAGCATGGTGCTGGAGGATGGAGTGGTACTGTTCCTTCTTCATGATTTACTTCAAACAAATCTCCTCCTCCATCACCTGATAAACATCCTCATACCATGAACTACCACCTCCATGCTGAATTGTGGGTGTAACACATGGAGCTTTCAGACGTTCACCAGTTTGTCTGCAGACATAGACTCTGAGTTTGGAACCAAACAGTTCAAACCTGTTTCTCGTCATCATAAGTCCAGTTTTTGTGAGCTTTTGTCCACTCATATCTCTTTTTCTTCTTCTGTGGATGAAGTCGTGTTTTTTTGCAGATACACAGCCCCGTCTTTTAGGCGTTTTTCTCTTCCTGTGTATCCTTCTTTCCTCGATGTACAAATCTGTACTTTTGTTTCTTTACTCAGTTGCTTCTTTCTGGTCATTTCTGCGGTAGTTTGAACTCAGTTTAGATTTATTAGGATTTTTGTCTGCAGACTCTCAGAAGACAAAAAGTTGAAGTGAATAATCCAACTTTGATTTGTTGTTTTTTTGTGACTCTTGCAAATGTTTTCAACCCTAAAACTAAGCCCTTATTATCTTTAGCTGACATATATTTAGCAATGGTCTGTTAACATCAATGTATATCTAAAGGTAAATGGAGTAAAATGGTGCATTTCCATGAAAGCAACATCTGATCATGGAGTAAATACATCCCAAAATACATCAAACTCATGCTGGAACAAAAACTTGAAGTTACTCCCAACTGTTCGGCCTGGAATGGCCGTGCTTCCAAACTTTTGGCCTGTAGTGTATATATATATATATATGTATATATATGTATATATGTGTGTGTGCGTGTGTGTGTGTGTTTTTAAAATGGTGCTTCTTTTATTTATTTTGATATTGGAGTTGTAGACGAACAGACTGTTTATGTTGTGTAGTTTTCCTGTTTAATATATATATATTTTTTAAGTTGTGTAGTTTAATATATTTTTATTTTCGATGTTTTGTAGTTTTCCTGTGTGCATGTCTGTCCTTCAGCAGAGTCGAAGTGTGTCCACGTTGGTGATGATTACACTAATGAAGGCTGACTTTAAGAGCTCTTCTGCTGCTCCTCTAAACATAGAGATAAACCTGCAGAGTGGGCTGAACAGGGTCAGAACCAGAACCTCAGCTGGTCAGTGCACTTTCACAGATAATCAGAATTTTAATCAGATTCTGTCGAAGGATCAGGAGACACAGAGAAAGAGAGAGAGAGAGAGAGGATCTACAGTCTGTGATTAAGAGAGGGAGGAAAGAAACAGAGAGAGGAAAGAAGAAGAAGAAACAGGTGTAACAGAAAAAAAAAACAGCTGTTCAGAGTTTTAAATAAACGGACTGTTGAAACTAAAACTTGATTTTTAAAACTGAACGTTTATTTTACTTCTAAACCAAAAAACTGCAGAGTAACTGGATCAGTGACCGAGAGTCCAGCTCGCACCTTTACACAGCAACACGAGACGACCCCCCCGTCCCTTTAATCAGCTGTAACTCCTGCAGGTGTGTGTGTGTGTGTGTGTGTGACAGAGCCTTACCTGTGGGGGGGTGGGGGTGGAGGAGGGGTGACTGACAGGAGGCGTTGAGTTCCTGCTCCCTGAACCTCCCGCCATGATCTCCTCTGTGATGTCCCGCCCGCCCTGATTGGGGTCACGGATTCGGATCTGGGAGGACAATGTCACAAAAACACAGAGCTCACTAAAGCGGCCGAGTCTCCGAGCCGACGGCAGAGATACGTTTATATTTTTACTGTTAGACACGAAATTTAACCACATCAAACATTTTGTTACATTATGTTTTGGTTTGTTTCGGTCTGTTTTGGTTTGTTTCGATCTGTTTCGGTTTGTTTTGGTCTGTTTTGGTCTGTTTTGGTCTGTTTTGGTTTGTTTCGGTCTGTTACGGTTTGTTTCGGTCTGTTTTGGTTTGTTTCGGTCTGTTACGGTTTGTTTCGGTCTGTTTTGGTTTGTTTCGGTCTGTTTTGGTTTGTTTCGGTCTGTTTTGGTTTGTTTCGGTCTGTTTTGGTTTGTTTCGGTCTGTTACGGTTTGTTTCGGTCTGTTTTGGTTTGTTTCGGTCTGTTTTGGTTTGTTTCGGTCTGTTACGGTTTGTTTCGGTCTGTTTTGGTTTGTTTTGGTTTGTTTCGGTTTGTTTCGGTCTGTTTCGGTTTGTTTCGGTCTGTTTCGTTTTGTTTCGGTCTGTTTCGGTCTGTTTCGGTCTGTTTTGGTCTGTTTCGGTCTGTTTCGGTCTGTTTCGGTCTGTTTCGGTCTGTTTTGGTTTGTTTCGGTCTGTTTCGGTTTGTTTCGGTCTGTTTCGGTTTGTTTCGGTCTGTTTCGGTTTGTTTCGGTCTGTTTCGGTTTGTTTCGGTCTGTTTCGGTCTGTTTCGGTCTGTTTTGGTCTGTTTCGGTTTGTTTCGGTCTGTTTCGGTCTGTTTCTGTCTGTTTTGGTTTGTTTCGGTCTGTTTCAGTCTGTTTCGGTTTGTTTCGGTCTGTTTCGGTTTGTTTCGGTCTGTTTCGGTCTGTTTCTGTTTGTTTTGGTTTGTTTCGGTCTGTTTCGGTTTGTTTCGGTCTGTTTCGGTTTGTTTCGGTCTGTTTCGGTCTGTTTCGGTCTGTTTCGGTTTGTCTCGGTCTGTTACGGTCTGTTTCAGTTTGTTTTGGTCTGTTTCGGTCTGTTTTGGTTTGTTTCGGTCTGTTTTGGTTTGTTTCGGTCTGTTTTGGTTTGTTTCGGTCTGTTTTGGTCTGTTTCGGTCTGTTTTGGTTTGTTTTGGTCTGTTTCGGTCTGTTTTGGTTTGTTTCGGTCTGTTTCGGTCTGTTTTGGTCTGTTTCGGTCTGTTTCGGTCTGTTTTGGTTTGTTTCGGTTTGTTTCGGTCTGTTTCGGTCTGTTTTGGTTTGTTTCGGTTTGTTTCGGTCTGTTTTGGTCTGTTTCGGTTTGTTTCGGTCTGTTTCGGTCTGTTTTGGTTTGTTTCGGTCTGTTTCGGTCTGTTTTGGTTTGTTTCAGTCTGTTTCGGTCTGTTTTGGTTTGTTTCGGTCTGTTTTGGTCTGTTTCGGTCTGTTTTGGTTTGTTTCAGTCTGTTTTGGTTTGTTTCGGTCTGTTTTGGTTTGTTTTGGTCTGTTTCGGTCTGTTTCTGTTTCTCTCTTCTTGTTCTTCTAAATTGAAACTGAGCCGCTCTTTGGGGTTGAAGACGGTCAACTGTATCTGAAATCACACTCACTGGATTTACACTAAACAACTTCAGGGTGAGCTGCATGTCTGAACACAGTCAGACTTTGAAGTTTATTTTGAACATGATTATAATAATAATAATAATAATAATTAAAATAGAAGAAAGCAGCTGCAGCTCTTTAGTTTGATTCAATAAATCCAGAGATTTGGAAGAAAGTCAGCAGCTGCAGACAGAAATCTTATTTCATTAAACGTTTGAAAAACATGATCAGACCGATGGTCTCGAACACACCGTTAAAAACCAGCTTTGTTCAGGTTTTTCTTGTAGCTCTTTGTAGAAGAACGTGTAAATCTCAGACGAAGGGTTACGGACATTAAAAAAAACACATGAGGCAGAGAAACTTTCCACCAGTCTGTAGAAATCTATTTACATCTGAACCAAACCAGCTCCTTTCATTCATTACATCTGGATTAGGGTTTGTTTTAATAATTTAATTTGAATGGATTTTTATCATAAAGGTTATTTTCTGGACCCTTTCAAATCATGACGTTCACATAGTTAAGGAGCAGCAAACAGGTTATTTGTGGACTTCACAGAGCAGTTTGAGGGGAGAGACTCGGTTTTCTCTCCTGACATTTCTGGTTAAAAGATGTGAATTATTCTGATCAGAGGTCAAATGTAAACGACTCATGTCAACAGAAAGAGCAACAAGAACAACAAGCTGGTGAAGTTCAGCTGCTGATGAAGACATTTCAGAGATTTCAGAGCGGCTTCTTCTTAAAGGAGCGACCGTGTTTAGACAGCTGCAGTTTCAAAGGTCAAAACTGAAACTCTGCAAAGATCAACTTTCAACACATTATCGTAAAAAAAACTCTGAAGTGTCTGGGGGAAAAGAAGACGTGTGAAATTCAGACCTAAGAGACTTTAATTTTATGTCCTTATTTGATTTATTTGACAAGCTGTGGTCAAAGTGAAGGATTTAAAGTTTGGACAGAAAAATAAAAAACACTAAATCTCCAAGTTTAGAGACGGAGAACACGGAGATACTCCTCAGATACTCACTGTTTTCTTCTCCCGCTTGGCTGGTGGAGGTTGCTGTGGTGTAGGCACTATGATGGGGGGTGAAGGGGGGTACACAGTCTGTCCTGGGTAATAGGGGGGACCAGCTGTGGGGACGGGGGCGGGGACAGAGGGCGAGACAGGCGGGTGGTACCTGAGGGAATCTGAGAGAGACAACAGGAAGAGAAGAACGAAATCAAACAGCTGATCGGAGAATTCAGTGAAAACAGCTGATCTGATCTGGTTCTGGGATCCATGACTCACGATATGGGGCTGGGTACTCCCCTGGACCAGGACCAGGATAGAAGGTTCCAGACCCTGGAGGCTGGACTGAATACTGCTGAGGAGGTCCCACATAGGGCGTGCTGTGTCGATACTGCAGGTCCAGAAAAAAACAGAGGAAGACAGCGTCACTCCGTTTTTATTAAAGGCAAGAAACAACAAAAATATATAAACATAAAAAACAAATATAATAAATATAAATATAAACATAAAAACAAATATGAATATAAAAAATATTTAAAAATAAAAACAAATATGAATAAAAATATAAAAACAAATATAAATATAAAAACAGATATAAATATAAATATAAAAACAGATACATATAAAAATTAAAATATAAATATAAAAACATATATAAATATAAATAAGGAAAAACGCTGCAGATGATTCAAACAGACTGAATTTGTCGTTAACAGTAAATCTGTGTTTTATGCTGCTGTTAGGAAAAGTGATACCTGTCTGAGGACACTGTCAAATCTAAACTAAAAAACAAACAGTCACTTCACCAAAATACCAGGACCACAGAAAAGGATTCATATAAATATAAAAATAAATATAAAAATAATAAAAATATAAAAATAAATAAAAATATAAAATAAATAAATATAAAAATAATAAAAATAAATATAAAAATTAATATGAATATAAAATAAATAAGAATACAAAAATAAATATAAATATAAAATAAGTAAAAATATAAAAATAAATATAAAATAAGTAAAAATATAAAATAAATATAAATATAAAATAAGTATAAATATAAAAATAAATATAAAATAAGTAAAAATATAAAAATAAATAAATATAAAATAAATAAAAATGTAAAAATAAAAATAAATATAAAATAAATAAAAATACAAAAATAAATATAAATCAAAATATAAAATAAATAGATATAAAATAAATCAAAATATAAAAATAAATATAAATACCTTGTTCACCCCTGACACAGAACATTAAGACCTTCTCACGCTGACAGTTGAACAAAAAGAGTTGATGTCTGTGAGAGGGTCGGATTTTGAGACCCTCTGAGAAGTCTCACCTGTGGGATGTAGTACTGTGCAGCCTGAGGGGAGGGGAAAGGCATGGGCGCCATGGTCATCATTATTGGTTGGTTGGTGGGGTAGACGGCGGCTGTGGGGGTCTGCGAGCCTGGCCGTATGGAGGGCGTGTTTGTGGGGATGGTGGGCCTCGCAGTCTGCATCTGAGTTCTCTGGAAAAACTGGGAGAAACAAAGCGTCACACACGGTCAGTACACGGATGAAAACACACAGATGTTTCTTCTTCTCCTCGTGGATTTGACCTCCTCCACGTCTCTCTCAGTCAGACTCTGGACTGGTTTCTATCAGCAGCTCTGACTGAAATCTCCCGTCCTAACACCACTCTGACTTCTCTGTCTGACGGCTCCATCATCAACACTTCATCCTCTCCGCTGACTGCTTTAAGAAACGCCCTCCAAAGTTTTAGACCCAAAAACAACGTCATGAATCAGATGACAGACAGACAGACAGACAGAGACGCCAACAAAACAGAGAAAAACACTTTAACTTCGAAACACGTGAAATATTTTCTCCTACGATCACAGAATCAGACAAACAGAAACAAACTGGGTTAATATTTCAGAGACTAAAGAAACGACAGAGATTTACAGAGTGACGTCTGTCTCTGTTCTCACACACACAGACTCGCACAGACAGAGTCCGGCGTAGTTTCAGCTGCTTGTTCACAAAGTTTTTCTCAGAAGTTGAAAATAAAATCACTGAATTTACTTTATTGAAAAATCACATTTTTAAAATCATTCGGTTTTTTTTTACTAAAGTTAAAGGATCTCGTTATTGTTCAGATGAGGTTTGATAATAATATTAATAATGATAATCTTTTACTAAAGTAGAAGGATCTCGTTATTGTTCAGATGAGGTTTGAGAGTCTGAGGGACTGACAGGTTTTTCTCCGATCTCCACAGATCTTTGACCTGAACTTTCACAAACTTCGACGTTAGAGAACAGGAACTTTAAACTCACTCCGAGCAGCTGTGAGGATTTTTACATCGTGGGGAGGTTTGATATCAGACAGAAAGACCGACAGCAGCTGTGACCGACTTTCTAACAACCAGGAGGGAAAACCCCGCCGCTCACGACAATCAACAACAACAACAACAACAACAACAACGACGCTGTAAAAGAGTCTAAAAAACCCAGAAGGGAAATCACCTTTAACATCATAAACCAGGTTTATCGTAAACAGGCGAAATCTGGGAAACAACCAGGAAACGGTTTCATGAGCGACTACAGTCCCGATAAAAACACATGAGCTGACAGACAAAACAACTCCCACAAAATAATAATAATGATAATAATAATAATAATTATTATTATTATCATTATCATAAAAACACAAGGGCTGACAGACAAAACAACTCAGACAAAATCAGAGTCTTCAACAATCCTAAAAACAATAATAATAATAATAATGATAAATTATTATTATCATTATTATTATTACGACAAAAACAGAAACCAGACTGACATCCATCAAAAACCTAAAAAAAAAAAAAGAGAGGAAATGATCGCTGCAGGAAACATCGGAGACAAAAATAAAAACACGTAAGTCCGCTCCGTCATTCCACATGCAGTGAGTTCAATTAAAGACGATCAATGAATGAAACGATGAAACTCCGGAAAGATCGTCTACGAGCAAAAAACTAAAAACAGAACTGAGGATAAAATGATGATGATGATGATGATGGGGGAGGACGATCTTCATCATGCCGTCATGCAGGTCTGCAGAGAGCTCAAAGTTACCTGGATGGGCCTGAATCCTCCCTTTTGAAAGCAGGAAAGAGAGAAAAGCCAATAGGAGAGAGAGATACTGGTGATACTGGTGACACTGGTGAAGCTTTAATATACGAACACAGTTAGACAAACATTCACTGTTTTACGTTAAAGTAAAAACACTCCGATTATTCCGTCCGCCTGTCGTCCTGAGGAGAAAACACTCAAACATGAAGATCGCAGCAGGAACCACCAACAGAACCTGAGCGGTCCAAATCTAACACCAGGATCCAAGAGGACTCGGACCAGAGCATCAGGACCAGGACATCAGGACCAGAGCATCAGTGAACATCTATTCTCTGTGTCTAACTCTAGTTTCTTCGTTACAGAAAATCGTCACTTTGTCGCTGCGTCCTCACAACACTGATCATGTGACGGCGTTGAGGAAACAAACACCCGAGCCAGGTAAACAAGGTCGGTCATCATCTGTTTGACGGCATCTTTCACAGTTTATATTGATTATTGATTAGTCGTAATATTTCTAATAGAAGCTCAACAGAACCAAAGTGACTCCACAGACAGAAGATCAAACAGGAGCAGGTCCAGATCATCATCTTCATCTTCACAGACGAAATAAAACCTGATCTCCATTTCATAGATGGAAATAGAGCTGGACCTGATTAAATCCAAGTCCTGGAGGAGTACTGGGTTTGAGTTTCCAGGGTCTAAACTGGACTTCCTGTGAAAATTCCTCTAAACTCTGGTGCTGACCAGAGGAGCTGCTGCTGATATAGAAGAGTCCGGTTCATCCTCAGAGTGGAGACTGAACCTGAACTAAATTAACTTTAGACTTCACAACAAACGGGTCAATCTAAGACGATCAGACTGTGGAGAGACACCAACCAATCACATCCATGCAGCTTCGCTTTACTGACACTATATCTACATAGACTATATCTACACTATACATAGACTATAACTATACTAGACGATATCTATATAGATATAGTCTATATAGACTGTTTATCTATATAGACTATAAAGTCTATCTAGCCTTTCTCTATATGTCAGCAGTCTGATCGGCTCCTTCATTAAACTCCAGTTCTGGTAAAACCAGGTCAATCTAAAACCATCTCAGGTCTTCACTGATCGGACTCTCACAAGTTCTAAAGACCTCCATGTGGACCCGGGGACTCTTGGACAAACACACTCTGGACTTCAAGAGGGGTCTGTGAGCAGGTCTGTAAGCAGGTCTGTGAGTAGGTCTGTGAGTAGGTCTGTGAGTAGGTCTGTAAACAGGTCTGTGAGTAGGTCTGTAAGCAGGTCTGTGAGTAGGTCTGTAAGCAGGTCTGTGAGCAGGTCTGTAAGCAGGTCTGTGAGCAGGTCTGTAAACAGGTCTGTGAGCAGGTCTATGAGCAGGTCTGTGAGTAAGTCTGAGAGCCTGTCTGTAAGCAGGTCTGTAAACAGGTCTGTGAGTAGGTCTGTAAGCAGGTCTGTGAGCAGGTCTGAGAGCCTGTCTGTAAGCAGGTCTGTGAGCAGGTCTGTAAACAGGTCTGTGAGTAGGTCTGTTAGCAGGTCTGTAAACAGGTCTGTGAGTAGGTCTGAGAGCCTGTCTGTAAGCAGGTCTGTGAGCAGGTCTGAGAGTAGGTCTGTGAGCAGGTCTGTAAGCAGGTCTGAGAGTAGGTCTGTAAACAGGTCTGTGAGTAGGTCTGAGAGCCTGTCTGTAAGCAGGTCTGAGAGTAGGTCTGTAAACAGGTCTGTGAGTAGGTCAGAGTAGGTGAGGTTGCTCAGATTCATTCATTTCGGATCTCTCTGCCTCTCTCTCTCTCTGTCTGTCTCTCCGTCTATCTCCCTCTCTCTCTCTCTCTCTCTCTACAGTGATTGGTTCAGAGGTAACTCTCTCATAGTTAAACACACACAGGAACACTAAAGCTGACCGACACTAATAAAGATGATCGTTGTTTTTTCACACACTCATGTTTTCACTCAGATTCATTCATGTCGGATCTCTGCGGCGTTTTCTGTGTTTCAGACGGACAATGGCGGTTTTCTCTCCTCCGTATAAAAGACGTCTGTTCTTCTTCATCTGCTTCCTAACTCCACTTCCGTGGCGACACAAGAGATCCCAGCGCCAGTGTGTGACAGACACTTCTGAGTGTGTGTGTGTGTGTGTGTGTACGCAGTGATGTCTGCACACACACTTTGACTCAGTTCTATTAATAACCTGTGAAATTTCTGTCCACACAGAAACCTCCAGAAGGTGAGGAGGTTTTAGAGGGACACGGGGTGAGTCTGGGGGACTTCCTGGGGGTGTGAGGACCAGATCAGAGGTTGGTGGGGGACACCTCCATGAATCATCACCACGGCGATCAACAGACGACAGGAAGTCACACGGACGGACTGAATTTCAGATCCGTGACTCTGAGCGCCCACAGGGTAAAACACAAACAGGCTCATAAATCCTCCGACACATGAACCTGATCTTCTGATCCGCGCTGCAGGACCAGGACCAGAATTCAGAAGAGATCCACATCCTGACTCACTCCTTCAGGACTTGAACCCAAACACATCGGAAAACCCCAGGTGAGAAGACTCAGTGTACCTTCTGTATAATGACAATAAAGAGGATTCTGGTTCTGGTTCTGGTTCTGGTTCCAACCGGAAAAGCAGTAAGGAGTTAGTTTATGTGAAAAAACAGGATTTCCTTTAAACTGATGATGATTAGAAATAAGACTGATCTGCATTAACACAATATTTTCATGTGAGAGGTTCTGCTCTTCATTTTGGCCCGTTTTTGGATTCTTCATGTGTTCGAGGTCCGGTTCATATCCAACCCTTGGACCTTCCCCAGCCCACGTCGGTGCTCATCGTCTCTCACAGTTTCCTTCTCTGTCCATAAACTTATAAAAGCAAAGACATGATCTCCACCTCTGATTTCAGAACAGCCATGTTTTCAAAGTGCACTGGGATCTGATGAATATATTACAGACATGATCGTGGAGAAATGAAGGGACAAAGTTCTAACCAAACAATAAACTAGAGGAGGATTTAGCTCCACATGAACACAAACAAAAGTGTTCCTCTCTCTGTTTTCTCTCTTTGAAACGATAAATTAATCAATACTAACCAAACGATCCAACAAAATTCGGTGATATCAACCCCTGAGAAGAGCAAAGGGTTAAAGTTCAACCCCGTTAGCCTGTTTGATAAACTAAAGTCCATAAAGTCCGACTGTTTTACGGGACAGTGAAGGAAACACCAGGAAGTCATGGAGACATCAGTCCATCAGAGTCTGTGCAGGTCGGCTGTCTTTATCATCTTTATGCTAAAATAATAATAATAACAATAATAATAACAAGGATAATAATAATAATAATAAGAATAATAATAATAAGAATAATAAAAAATATTATTATTATTGTAATAAAAATGATAATTATAATGACGATAACAATAATAATAATTATAATAACGATAACGATAATATTATCATTTATAATAATAATAATAATTATTATTATTATTATAAAAATGATAATCATAATGACGATAACAATAATAATAATTATAATAATTATAACAATAACAATAATAATAATTATTATTATTAAAATAACGATAATATTATTATTTATAATAATAATAATAATAATTATTATTATTATTATTGTTATTATTACTATCCTTGTTATTATAAAAATGATAATTGTAATGACGATAACAATAATAATAATTATTATAACGATAACAATAATATTATCATTTATAATATAATAATAATTATTATTATTTTTGTTATTATAAAAATGATAATCATAATGACGATAATAATAATAATTATTATAATTATAACGATAACAATAATAATAATAATAATAATAACGATAACAATAACATTATTTATTATAATAATAATAAGAATTATTATTGTTATTATTATTATCCTTGTTATTATAAAAATGATAATTGTAATGACGATAACAATAATAATAATTATAATTATAATAACGATAACAATAATATTATCATTAATAATAATAATAACAATATTATTATTATTATTATTATTATTATTATAAAAAAAATTATAATTATAATAACGATTAACAATAAAACCTTTTTCTGCATTAAAGTAGAAAAACTCCAGTACACCCACCAGCTTCACTTCATCAGAGTCTGAAAACGAGAAACTAAAAAGACTTTTAATGAACGTCTCCTCAGATCACCGTCGACACGAACATGAACGAGAATAAAACAAAAACACTCAGTCAGAATAAAACCGCTCTGTGCTCCCGGCTGGATATCTCCAATAATCATCAGGATCATTAAAACCTTTTTAACTAGAAAGCTTTTAAATCAGAGACCCCCCCCCCCCCCGCTGCTAACAGGCGTGTGGTCAGCAGGTACCAGCACGCCTCTTTGACAATAATGACGCCAGAGAGGGGAGCAGGAGGGGCGTTCAGTGGGGGTTAAATACCTGATGGTGGGTCGGTCGAGGGCCCGCAGCAAACTGGTGGGGGAGGGAGGAGGAGAGGTCCAGCAGGGAGGTTTGAAGCAGCGATGGTGAAGAAGGAGAAGAAGAAGAAACAGAGAGAGAAGATGAGTGACGAAGGAAGACGCTCGAAAAAAAAAAAGCAATCATCACAAAACAAAAACCACAACAACAAAAGGTCAAAGGTCAGGTCTGTGACCACCGCAGGAAAAACAGGACTTTAATTTCACAGAAAAATAACAAACATGCGTTTTAATGAAAATATAGAAATGAAATCAGAACTGATTATTGAGATTATTAACGAAGGAGGAAAACATCTAATCCTCATATTCAACATCTCAGGTGGAAAACCACATTACCCACAATGCATGACTGTGTGTGTGAGTGAGTGTGTGTGTGTTTGTTGGCTGACCTGGGTCTGGGTAGCTCTGCTCTACAAATGAAGATTATTATTTATTAATAATTAATATTCAAACTGAGTTTTGTTTGTGGAGGAGGATTTCTACTTCTTCTTCCTCAGGTGGTTTTTAGGAAGGTCGGTCAGACGGATCCAAAGTTTAAAACATTTAAGAGTTTAAAAGTTTTCTTTGTTTGATAAAAGAAAATTCTTGAACAGGAAAATAAGTGAAAAAATAAGAAGTGAGTCCAGACACCAATCAGACGTCGGTCTTTCTAAAGTCAAAAACTCTGGAAAAAAAACTTTAAAAAACTTTTTATAAATCTTATTAAAGACAAGGATTTTAAGTTTCTACCTTGATTCTTGATGTCGATTAAAAAAAGGCGTTTAAAGAGTTAAAGTTCAGATTTTAATGAAGAATAACTGATTCAAACTCAAACTCTCTCACATCCATGTCTGAAGAACATCTGTAAACGACGTTATCAACCGACTTCAACCTCAGAGTCACCATCATCTGAACCTGAGAGGGGGGCTACATCCTGGTCTTTAACCTGCTGACCTGCTGATTGGCTGTTAACGGTGTTATTAAACCAATCAGAGGGTTCGCTTCTCAGGTGACAAGAAACAAAAACTCGGAGGTCAAACTGCTGAACTTTCAGGACCACCAAGAAGACCGTTCTGTCTCAAAGGGGGCGGAGGGACGACTCACCGGGCGACTTTGTGGCTGTGCATTCATTGGCTGCGTCTGTGGAGAATACACTAAAGGGGCGGAGCCAGCATTTTGTCCAGGGTTGTACGGAGACTGTGAGAAAAAGAGAAAAAGAGAAAAACAGGGATCAAAAAAAACAGACAGACACAAAGAAACACAGACAGACACACAAACAGACAGACACACAGAAACACAAACAGACACACAAACAGACAGACACACAGACACACAGAAACACAAACAGACAGACAGACACACAAACAGACACACACAGACACACAAACAGACAGACAGACACACAGAAACACAACAGAAACACAAACAGACACACAGACACATAAACAGACAGACAGACACACAGAAACACAAACAGACACACACAGACAGACAGAAACACAAACAGACAGACAGACACACAAACAGTCACACACAGACACACAAACAGACAGACACACACAGAAACACAAACAGACACACACAGAAACACAAACAGACAGACAGACAGACAGACAGACAGACAGACAGACACACAAACACACACAGACACACAAACACACGTCAGTTATTTCTTTGATCCATTTAAACACAAACATTAAAACAGAAATCTGACTGAAGGAATAAGAACATTTTCAGGATTAGAGTTAAGGTTAGGATTAGGATTAGTTTAGGTTAGGATTAGAATTAGTTTAGGTTAGGATTAGGATTAGTTTAGGTTAGGATTTGATTTTAGGTTAGGGTTAGGATTAGGGTTAGTTTAGGTTAGGATTAGTTTAGGTTAGGATTAGGATTAGATTTTAGGTTAGGGTTAGGATTAGTTTAGGTTAGGATTAGGGTTAGAGTTTAGTTTAGGGTTAGGATAAGGGTTAGAGTTTAGGTTAGGGTTAGGATTAGTTTAGGTTAGGATTAGGATTAGAGTTTAGTTTAGGGTTAGGATAAGGGTTAGAGTTTAGGTTAGGGTTAGGATTAGTTTAGGTTAGGATTAGGATTAGATTTTAGGTTAGGGTTAGGATTAGTTTAGGTTAGAATAAGGGTTAGAGTTTAGGTTAGGATTAGGATTAGTTTACCTATACCTATATTGGGCACTGGAATTGATCCCACCCCTCAAAAAAGCGCTAACCCCCCTGTAGTCGCCTATAGAGGGTCAGGGATCCATTAAGGGCTCAGTCTGTGTCTTAATTAAAGCTCTCACACTCAGCTCGTTTAAGGGTTAGGGGTTTTTTTGGTTAATGGGGAAAACAGAAAACTAAGAAATCCAAAAAAACAACTTTAAGTTCAAACATGTTAATAACATTATTATTATTATTCATGTGTGTGTTTATAACAGACATTATAACCATGTTATTATTATTATTCATGTGTGTTTACAACAGACATTATAACCATGTTGTTATTATTATTTGTGTGTGTTTATAAAGTCATTTCTAAAGTCTCTGTTATTTCCTGAAGTTTCTTTTAAATCAAACAGACAAACAGAAAAAAAAAACACGCAGTGAAGATGACGACGGCGGCGGCGGACACAAACTCACCCCTCCGCCTGCCTCCCAGCCCTTAGGGTAGCGATACGGGGAAGCTGTGGGTACTGATACCTGAGAGAGCGCCGGGGAGTGGGCGTGGCCGGGCGGTGTACCCGCCAAGCTAGGGTGTCCCTTTGTGATGTCGTGAGCGGTGTAAGGAGGACCAGCGTGCCGGGGAACCTGGAGACGGCGAGAGAGAGAGAGAGAGAGAGAGAGAGAGAGAGAGAGAGAGAGAGAGAGAGAGAGAGAGAGAGAGAGAGAAAAAAACATGATTTATCCACACGCACACACTCCAAAATAATAATAATAATTTTTATTATTGTTGTTTTTTTTTATTACTATTATCATTATTGTTATTATTATGATTATTATCTCATCACTTCTCCACCAGGTTAGTTTTGTACCAGCTCTCTCTGCAGGGATGTCGCTGAGCTTCTTTAACACAAACCAACATTAAGTGTGTTGTTATTACAGTAAATGTGATTGTTAGTTTTTAAATCAGGTTAGACGCCTAAATATGAAGATTATAAAATTATTACTAATATTTCAGTCGGGTTACTCTCAGAGTGTTTTGGTCGGTAAGGGAGGAAAGCTGAACTTTTGCTTGTTTCTGTTTTTAGTGAGCAAAGACATACAGTCATCAAATCCAGATTATATCCATTCAGGCTTTACAGGATCCTGCTCTCCAAAAGCAAGATACCTTACCCTGAGCCCACACTCTGGTCTATGGAACAGAATCCAGATCAGGGAGGAAAAAAAGGTCTCTGCTGGACTACCTTCAGGTCCAAAAACCGCTTTAACTACAGAGCTAACATCTCAACAATACACACTAACAGGCAACAATGGGCGGCGCCGCCTCCATAGTAACAACGCCGCTGCATCTCTCTCCTCTGTGTGGCCCACTTCCCTCAGATGACCCGGGATAAAGCAACTAATCTAGCTGCTGCTGTTGCCAGGGGAGGAGCCTGCGCCGCTTCAGGCGGCGACTGATTCTGAGGACATACAGAGTGATGTGGTGGGGGAGGGGAGGAGAGCGGCCGTATACATGAGGGGAAGGAAAAAAGGGAGTAAAGACCCTCGTATCCACAGCGCAGTCCTCCTGTTTCCTCCTCTTTTCATGTCGTATTTCTCCCAGTGTCATCATCATCATCATCATCATCATCATCTCAGAAGAAACTGCAGAAAATCTCTGAAAACCAAACGATGATCCAAGGCTGCGTTTTTTTTTATTTCTGTGGATAAACAGAAACAGCTGAGCGTCCTCATCTTCTAACGCGCTCTAACGCGCTCTAACGTGCTCTAACGTGCTCATACCTCGACTTTTCAGGAATCTTGTCTTCAGCAGAAACCGAGAAATAAACAAAGCTGGGATTCTGTGAGCTGCTGCTGCTGCTGGTCGAGGCTGGAGATCGTAAAACGAAGGGTTCAACATTTTCTGACCCTGGTGGTTTTTGGTTTTTGTGAAATAATTTTGTTTCTGTGTTTAAAGTAAAATAATGTTCAGATCCAAAATAAAACGAGGATGTTTGGAAAAGCTGTGTAAAAAAATCATTAATCTGTTGAACAGCATTATGGGAAAAATCTTCAAATTTCATAGAGGGGCTCATAATTTTGGCCTCCACTGTAGAAATGGTTAGAGAGTATTCTGAGGCGGCCTGCTCAGGTATCCTCTGTGTGTGTGTGTGTGTGTGTGTGTGTGTGTGTGTGTGTGTGTGTGTGTGTGTGTATATGTGTGTGTGAGAGTGTGTGTGCGTGTATATGTGTGTGTGAGAGTGTGTGTGCGTGTGTGTGTGTGTGTGTGTGCATGCGTATATGTGTGTGTGTTTTATGTGTGTGTGTTTTATGTGTGTGTGTGTATATATGTGTGTGTGTTGTGTGTGTGTGTTTTATGTGTGTGTGTGTTTTATGTGTGTGTGTGTATATATGTGTGTGTGTTGTGTGTGTGTGTGTTTTATGTGTGTGTGTGTGTATATGTGTGTGTGTGTGTGTGTGTGTGTGTGTGTATATGTGTGTGTATGTGTGTATATGTGTGTGTGTTGTGTGTGTGTATGTGTGTGTATGTGTGTGTGTGTGTGTATGTGTGTGTGTGTGTGTGTGTATATGTGTGTGTGTGTGTGTGTGTGTGTGTGTGTGTGTGTGTGTGTGTATATGTGTGTGTATGTGTGTATATGTGTGTGTGTTGTGTGTGTGTATGTGTGTGTGTGTGTGTGTGTGTGTGTGTATGTGTGTATGTGTGTGTGTGTGTGTGTATGTGTGTATGTGTATGTATGTGTGTGTGACTCACGCTGTAGACTGCAGCGACTCCCGGCTGTGTGGGGAAGAGCCTCTCGTCCAGTGATGGTTGAACCCGTGGGATTCTGGAGCGAGGGGAGTTAAGGTAAACTCGACACAGACAAACAGAGAGAGAGAAGCAGGCTGTGGACAGGTGAGGAGAGACCTTTGATCAGTTTGGACTGATGGCTGTAAAAGTTCCTGATTCAAACTCATGATCAGACTGGATTATCATTGTTCCCCCTCTGTCTTTAAACTCAGACTTTAAGGAGCTGAAATTGAGGATTTTATTTCTTCTTTACATCTACAAGGTTTTCCTTCGACCCCAAAATCTCTCAGGGTTGAATTTCTAGGATCCCCCAGCCACCCCACCCTGTCTGAAATGCCCCATCTCTCAAAGTACACTCTGTACCTTCAGCTTTGTGCAAGTGTTAAAGGGAAAAGCTGAAATGGATTTTTAGGCCACTTCAGGCAGAGGAGCGGATTAAACAACTGTGGAAAAAACTCACAAAGATACAACTTCAGATTTTTCTGTTTGTAAAAGGTGAAAGGAAAAAAAAACTCATAAAAAAAAAAAAAAAACAAAAAAAAAAAGAAAAATGACTTTTTAAGGAAACGTAGATTTTCATATTCAGACTGAGTTTGTGTTTCAGACTAACAGGAGGAATGTGTGATGGTCACAGAAGAGAGGGAAGCCCTGTGGTTAGTAACCTGCTCAGGCAGTTCTGTGTCTGTGTGTGTGTGCGTGTGTGTGTGTGCGTGTGACATGCAGGCTCACACACTCATGGTCACATGGTTTATGGGAAGCCTAACGTCTGGCTCTCTTCCTCTCAACCAAATCACGCCTCCTTTCCCCCTGAGGGCCGGGATATACGAGAAGAGAAGCAGTTTGTACGACATTTTGTCCGACCAGAACCAGAACCAGGACTAAGAGTGTGTGAAGTTGTTCTGGAGGAACTCAAAGGTGGGACGAACACCAGAGTTAGGAGGGGTGCAGTTTTTTTAGACCCTCTCTCCTGAGACCAAATCACCGTAGCTCTAAGTTGTTTATGTAAGAGTCAAAAAGGGAGAAGATGAAGTTTAAACGAGCGAGTGTAAGAAGAACTTTAAGTTCTTTTAACTTTAAGTTCTTTTAACTTGAAGTTCTTCTTAAATGAGAGGCTGGTTTTCATGTGTTAGAAAAGTGTCTCATCGTTGTTTTTATTCCCTCAAACTATCCAAACGTCCTCAAACAGAATCTGTCAGCTCAGGAAAGTGACCCCTGAAGACCTCCTACTCTGCTCTGCCTCTGCCTGAGGGGGCCATCATCTCTCCTGGACCCCCGCCAGCTTCACTACTTAACAAAACAGGGGGGGGAGAGAGAGAGACAGAGAGAGAGAGAGAGAGAGAGAGAGAGAGAGAGAGAGAGAGAGAGAGAGAGAGAGAGAGAGAGAGAGAGAGAGAGAGAGAGAGAGAGAGAGAGAGAGAGAGAGAGGGAGAGGCAGAGATAAGGAAAGAAAAGATTCATTTAAAACCAAAATAAAAGGATCTGGGATTCAAAAGGGAGAAACACAGCAGGAAGTATTATCTGTTCTATTGTCGGGAATTTGGAAAAACAACACGCCCACACACACACACACACACACACACACACACACACACACACACACACACTAAAATTAGGAGTAGTTGGAGTCTGAGTGTCAGTATTAACAGTTCTAGACTCTGTTCTGATGGAAGAAAAGAAGAAGAGGGTTCAGGACGTGTGTTTATATTTATATAACTCAGAGTCTAAAGGACAGTTTCTAACTCCACACACTGGTGAGAGAATTATTGGTATAATCAGCTGCAAATATTTCTTGACCCAGTTTAGGTGAGGAGGAGGAGCCAACAGCTGTGATTGGTCGGCTCTGGATCACTGCTGACTGACATACGGCGAGGCTGCGATACGTACTCAGGTGAAACGAGCAGCAGGTGAAAATTCAGGTCAATGTTCCCGCTGTAACTGGGCGAGAGGTGGGGAACAAACTGGGAGGGTTACTGGTCAATTACAGGAGACTCTTTAGGGTCACCAGTTCAACCCCGACAAACGTTAGTTCACGTAACCAAGACGGAGACAGTGTGAATAAAAACGTCACATGTTGTTCACTTTGGTTTTAGTGAAGTCATTGATTTGGAAAATTTCCTTTTCTAATATCAAATCTCACTTTTTTAACCCAAAACTAAGAGGAAGAACGTAACGCTCAGATGGAAGATGAAGCACCTTTAACTTTGACTCACGCAGATCCACAGACTCGTACTTTTACTTCTACTACAGTAAAACGTCTCTGCAGTAACTGTACATACACTACAGTCAAATACATTTTCTTCTTGTGCCAAGAAGGAATCGAGGAATGATGTTGGAGATCACACAGACTCGACGTTGTCCTCGGCTCGGAGTTCAAATGGGAAACTGTCCTGACATGAGGCAACTCTGCACACGATTGCATCACCCTCTCATAGATCGGATCGTTTCACAGCTGAAAGATATTTATATGACCTCAGACAGGCGTATAGAAAACACACCAACAAAAGCTCCTTTCACAGACGTACTAAACTCCTCCTGAGTGAGTCCAGGTTGGTCTGAGGGGTCGAGTTTTTCACCCGGACTTTACCTACACTTGGCCGAACACGCTGCATGAATTTCTTCAACCTGAGCAGACATTGTTGAACCTGCAGGAGCAGCTCGGTCAGTTTGTCCCAGTGACACACAGACGGAGTAAAAACAGACATGTGAAGCTCCAGTCTGTGTAACAGCGGGATTCTTCTTCCTCTGTGACTTTGAAAAAACGTTCAGTTTGCCTGAAATCATCAGAACCTAAAGGACAGAGTTCAACTCTTCTCTCCTCAGTTTTCTTACGTTTAGATCGCTGCAGTTATCGAATCACAGAAACAGTCACCATGATGGAGCTCATCATGAACTTCACAGCCGCACATCTGATGGAGAAGACCTCCCGCTGTGAGGTGTGTGTGTGTGTGTGTGTGAGCGTTAAATTCCTGGAACTATCAGGACCCGAATGTTTCAAAAATATCCTGAATATGTTGGAAGATCACGTGTAGAAAAGGGCTCCACACCAGAGCCGAGTTAACTCCGTCAGAGAAGAATCCAAACACACGCTCTGAAGGATAAAACCATTTTTTAGTGACGCCAAAAAGGAGCAGCGTGACCTTTAATGACCTTTAGTGACGTAAACACAACAGAGACAGATGTGGAGCTCCAACTAACAGCAGAGAGAGTCTGAGATTTCAACATCCGTCCACAGTTCTCCTGAAGGGCGACCACATCGACTGTTACTCTGTCTGCCGCTCCGTCTTCTTCTGCTTTAGTGGGAAACCAGATCTGAGAGTGGATCCAGACCATAATACAGGCCAACAATAACAACACACCTCTTCATGAGGTGGAGCAGATGGCAGCAGTCACCTCTCAGTCAATATCAAAGTGTCTGGCTGCACTAATTAGACTTTATTCATTTTCTGCTCGAGCAGAGAGAGAACGAGAACAATGTCAACCTGAAGACTTAGAGCAGCGATACGACCCCGGGGAAGAACGCCGTCAGTGAGTGTGGATGAAAAATCCCCTCCTGACCGAATCACACCAACAAAGAGGTTCTGACCTTCAAGAGGACGGAGAAACGCAGAGTCCAGATTAATCTGACCACAAAAGTAGTGAAGATACAATAAACCAGGATGAGAGTCAAAATCTACACAATATAAACAACATTATATTCTGGTTATTTACTAAACTGTGAGGATTTGGAGACAGACTTATCTCTGAAATCAATTTAAACTTTAAAAACCAAAAAAACTCAAAGTAACAACCAAGAAGAGTGAGTCCAGTTTCACTGGGAGGACAATAAAAAAGAGCTGAAAACTACTTTAACTTTGGGCTGATGATGAGCCTCTGACTCGACTCCATGGACTGATAGTATCTGTGTATTAAAGCCTGTGTAGGTGTGTCATGGTCAGTCGAACTGTCTCTCTCCCTCTTTTCTGTTTGAAGCTCCGTTCACCTCATCAGACTGAGTTTATGACCCTTTAATCCCACAGGTTTTAGTTTGGATTACACACTTTTCTGTCTGACCATTCCCTGAGTTCAATAACTTATTCTAATCGGTCAAAACCCGTTAACAACTATTATCAACGAGCAAGAGCAACACCAGAAACAACCAGATCACACACATCATCTCAAATCAATGTGAGTGAATCATCAATAATAGTCTGTCAATATCTGAACCCATCCGAGAAACCCGAAAACAGCGACAAAGACTGACGAAGAAACTGGAAACATGAGCTGCAGTGAGAAGACGAACAACCCTTCAGACTCGCTGATGTACGTCGGCTTCAGAGATCGGAAAAGTCAACGTACGTAAGAACACCTTTACCTGTCCCGCTCACCTGAACCAATGAAAACATGAAACTGAGAACGTTTCCTTCGCTTCAATCACAGGTCCTTTTTTTAATCAACACTCCTAAATCAATAAGAATGTCTCATAATCAATATTTTCAGTCTATTTGTCATCAGCAGGATAATGTTTAGAAAGTAAAACCGACACAGAGCAGAGGGGTCTTCACTCCCCTGTCAGGACCACCAGCTCGTTATACATCATCCTAACGACTGTGTGACGCCAAAATTAATGACTGAGCTGACCGTCGACCTCACAGACTTCTGTGGAGTCTTCAGACCGAGAGACTCTGACTGTAAACCTCTGGGTTTAGACTGAAACCAAACAGACTGAACTTTGATCACAGCAGGTCTCTGATGACCCTCGGAGACCATAAAAACCCCGCCCACTTTTCACACAGGGGTGATTTTCCTGAAACTGGGCGGAGCTGCAGATGACTTTATCAATCAGATCCTAAATCCAGAGTTTCCACACCACCGTCCGAAACAACTCTGTGTTCAACTGTTAACCCTGAGGAGATCATAAAGTAGCTTCGGACAGTCCTCCTTGACCTTTGACCCATGACCCTGCGGTGGCCTGTAAGCCTTCATTAGAAGGGAAAAGCTGCTGCGGCTCCTGCTTCATCATTAGCTTACAGTAAAGCCACTAATGTGCTGAACGAGGAAACGCCGCTTTAACGGGGACAAAACAACTCAATTAACCGATATCAACCATGAAATCAATCAATCATGGCGGCAGACTTAACCACCTCGCCGCTGAATGGATCACAAGAACGACCCGAGAAATAAAGGATGGAGATGACGGAGGAAGGAGGAGGTTTGAGCTGACTGTGCTTCTCTGCAGACGCCGAAGAAAAGCCTCAACGAACTAATAATAACCACACACACACACACACACACACACACAAACACACACACACACACACACACACACACACACACACACAAACAGACACACACAAACACACACAACTGTCTCAGAGACACACACACACACACACACACACACACACACAACTGTCTCAGAGACACACACACACACACACACACACACACACACAACTGTGTCTCAGAGACACACACACACACATAACTGTGTCTCAGAGACACACACACACACACACACACACACACACACACACACACACACACACAAACGTCTCCTTGAATGACGCCACAGGATACCTGCAGATCTCAGTCAGCGTGTTCAGAGCGCAGGAAGTGAGTGGAGACACGGCCCAGATGGTGCAGACACAAACCCTCCTTCTCCTGCTGGCCCACTGGCCACTCTCACACACACACACACACACACACACACAAACAAACACACAAACACAGTTGGATGAGAGCAGAGCACAGAGCTCTCACTGCCGCCTGCTGCTGCTGAGGCGGCTGAGCGATCGGCGGCTGAGCGATCGGCGGCTGGATCAAGGCGGTGAAAATGGCGAGTTTTTCCGCTCCTGTTCAAAATACAGATTTTTACAATAACTCCAAGTCTTATGAAGAGACGCACAATAACTGTCAGAAAAAACGTGTACCATCAGATTTTTTATTCATTATTTTTTTAATGCTTAGGGCTGAAGTTGTTTAAGAGTTGGGAGTCAAAAAAAATGTTTAAAAAATCTTATTTTATGACAGAGAAGACAGAGTAACAGGAACAGGAGTTAAAGATTTATTTTGAATCCAAAAACAACTTTAAAGCTGGTTCCTGTTTGAGTTACTGAAAATCTGTATTTTCTAACTATTCTTTTAACTTTCAGGTCTGAAACTTACAGCAGAAGTCCTCGACTTCAGAACAAAAGCAGGAAATAAAGTTGTCTAAATGTGGGACGAAGAATATGAAGGTAAAAGTGTGATAAGAGTTTGTGAGGCAGGAGTTCTTGAGAACTTGTCTCTTATTGTCAGCAGGTTTATGCAATGGTTGTGTAACCTGTTTGCTCTGCGCCTGAATTATGCCAACAAAGATGTCAAACACAGAAGTGACCTGGTTTTAAAAACAGACGAACATGAAGGAGGCCTGAACTACAGTCAGAGAACGGGTGTCAACATACTGAGGACGCTTACAGGACGGACAGCAGACTCCTTTAAAGACTGTACGGCACACACACACGCACACGCACGCACACACACACAAAAATACACACACACAAAAATACACACACACACACACACACACACACACACACACACACACACACACACACACACACACACACACACACACACACACACACACAAATACACACACACACACACACACACACACACACACACACACACACACACACACAGACAAACCCGTCCGGAGCGCTGCAGCGCTGCTGTTCTGTCTGTTCTGTTGTGCGTCTCTAAAAAACTTCCAAGCTGTTTTAAATTATGAGAAAGCACTTCCTGTTATTTAGTCAGAGACCGCAGTGGAAGCAGCAGCTCCTCGCCTCCTTTTCTGACTCTGGCAGATTTCTTCTTTCTCTCAAACACCTACTGGAGCAAATATTCATTAGTTTGACGGAAACGCATGACGACTGTTGAACTGTGTGAGTCAGACGAACTACAACCACCAAGACATGAAGAATTTACCCGAGGGACCTTAGAGAGGGAGGAGGACCAGGACCAGCGGGTCAGAACCAGCTGAACACAACAGGACCAGGACCGAGACCAGGACCGGGACCAGGTTCCTGGTTTGTGCTGACCTCAGGCAGCAGCTGTCCCGCTCTGGTCTGAACTAAAACGGACCCGTCTGAACTCAGGACTGATAGACCCATCTAAACTCAGGACTGAGAGACCCGTCTAAACTCAGGACTGAGAGACCCGTCTGAACTCAGGACTGAGAGACCCGTCTAAACTCAGGACTGAGAGACCCGTCTGAACTCAGGACTGAGAGACCCGTCTGAACTCAGGACTGAGAGACCCGTCTAAAGTCAGGACTAAGTGAACCAACCAGCAGGAGGAACCAGAAAACAGAGAAAGCTGATTGGTTGATTGGTTTCCTCAGTTTGACTAGAGCTGTGAATAGTAGATGTCATCATGTTTTTTGACATTTATACTCAAACAGCCAAAGTTACAGCTCTGCATACAAACGTACGTACGTACGTGCGTGCGTGCGTGCGTGCGTGCGTGCGCGTGTTACATGTTCAAAGAGAAGGGACAGCTGAGAGAGGAAGTCCAAATCAGGAACTGTTTCTGGATCAAAATCTGGATTCAACAGAGAGAAACGGAATCAGGGAGACTGACAGACACTTAAGACAGAGACAGAGGACCGAGGACAGAGAGACAGAGGACAGAGGACAGAGACAAAGACAAAGGACCGAGAGACGGAGCGCAGAGACAGAGACAGAGAGCGAGGACAGAGACCCCCCCAGCTGGACACCTCCCTGTGTTCCCTAATCGGACGTGTCTCCTCGTTTGCTTCCTTCAGGTGAAACTCTCTGAAAAGTCGTTCATGTTTTAGTCCGAACAGAAAAAAACGGAGTTTGGGAAGTTTCTGTGTGTGGGGGTGTGTGTGTGTGTGTGTGGGGGGGGGTCTTCAGATATAAAGTACTGTAGCATGAGGGGGGGGGGGGCTGAGTTTTCTCAGCTGTCCCGGCTGCAGAGGGGTGAGGTGAGGCTGTTGGGGGATGGAAGTAAAGGGGGGAGGGCTGAGGCGGGCAGGGTGACCTGGGTCTTTGTTGGCAGATGGTGGGAAGCGCCACCTTGGCCTCTCGCTCTGAATGCTAAGCAGCGCCGCCATTGTCTGGCAAGTGCAGCAGCGGCAGACGCATGCGCCAGCCGTTTCTATAGCAACCAGGAACAGAAACAAACTCCCCCCTCCTTTCCTCATCTTCCTCCCAGCTCTGTGTGTGCACACACACACACACACACACACACACACACACACACACACACACACACACACACACACACACACACACACACACACACACACACACACACACACAGCTTCTATGAACGCCTGTACAGCTAAGGACCGCACAAAACACACACCAACATCCTCCAAGTGGGAATTCCCATGCAGACGGAGCGCCGGGCAGACGGAGCGTAACTTGCTCCCACACTCCTGACCTCCGAGGTCCACAGAGAGTGAGAGGTCAGACCGGAGGTGACACTTTCATAGAGATGCAGAGATCCATGTCTGAAACACAGTCCAGTCCACTAGATTTGGACTTGGGGGTCCCAGGACAAATCAGACTCGTGTCACTCGTTTCTCTGCACATTCACTCGCTCTTTGTCAGAAGAATTGATCTTCTCTGTTCACTCCCACCTACTGCACAGATGGTTATGCAATGCAGGAACAAAAACACATCATACTTCTTATTTTAGCAAAAGAAATCCAACACTTCAATGTTCAACAGAATCACTCCTGCAACAGAGTCAGCGAAAAAACTACCACCAATAAACCGTAAAACTTCTAATAGAAGTCTGACAGAGTTACAGGTAGGGTCAGGATTTACTTTTACAAGGACCTGACATCACATTTACTCCCCATGTTGGTATGGAGACCAGAGGAGACCAGAGGAATCTGGATCCGTCAGGCTGTCAGGTTTAGGCAACAAGAGCAACAGGAAAACACTCCAGCAGTGAAGCTGAAATTCAACCCGTCCAAAAAAAGAGGGGAGAAAAACCAAAAGGGTTAGTGATCAGCAAACGTCACGGTCTCCCAAAAGTTGATCAGGTAACAGGCTGCAGAAATGTGAGTGACAGGAGGGCCAAGGGGGGACTTGACTGTTTGTGAGGGTCTTAGAGACGGAAGGGACTGAGAAAAACCTGGACTCTGGAGGACCCGAAGATGAACGCAGAGTAATGATGAAGCAAACACTAAAATTCTACTAAAATCAAACTGTCAGATCTGAGGAATCTGCTGAAATGACATTTTAATCCCATAAATAGAAGAATAACCTGAAATCTATCCGAGGGGAAATGCTCAGCTCTGTTTTTCAGCATTTTAAAGCAACCTACCATCTTCAGATGTTTCACTCTGTGGAACATCATCTCTCAGCATCAGTTATCTTCAGAAAGCCATCTCAACACCATCTCAGTTTCTGGTTAACTCTGTTCCCTGGATCTCTACGTTTCTCTCTGCCCTGTCGCTGACAGCTGACTTTAATCATGAGAGGTAAACTCCCTTTGCAGATCGATGACACTCACAACAGAATATTGACACTGGATTACTAAACCCAGAATGTGAGATGATCCCACTTTCTTTCATGGATGTAATTTAAGGAAAAACTAATCTCATATTAGGGTAAATATGATTCAGTCATAAAGGGGATATATCCAAAAGGTGTTGCATTAGACTGACAAGTGCATTAACCTGATAAATTCAGATGGTTCAGGTGTGAAATGGGTATAAAAGATTGTAGTGACATAACAAGGACACTTAGACCTTCATAGTTCATCTGTGTGGTACTTCGAACGATCAAGGTAAAGACTTTCCCTGATCTCTTTTGGGTAAAACTTGTACAAAACAAACCACCATATGCATACAGACAATGCTGGCATATGGAGCACCAGATGCACAGATGTGTACCTGTCTCTGAGAGGTTCATGTGAATTGTTCGAGAAGGGATAAAGATACTCCAACACCAAGGTAAGAAATCCAACAATAATGGAAAAGAAAAAAAAGACAGCTCTCAGAAACGTTGAAGCTGAACTACACAATAAAAAACAAACAGCAAAACACAACAACCCTGGCAGAAAGCGGCTACGTCTCCTCATTTACCACTAGACTCATTATAACTGGAAGATCCCATATGCAAAAAAGGAAAGGGTGCAGTTCTGCTCTCAGTTAGATCTCACAGCCGAAAGTAGGTTAAGCAAATTCACCACTCATTTCAAAAGCCTTGGGAGTCAACAGAGGACATGGTACAACAGATAAAGAGCCCATTATCATCTGAGCTGCCTTCGCTTTACTCATCTTATCACAGTCAACTCAAAACATTACAACACATGCTGCCAGCTAGCTGCCGTCCCGAGCTGGTTACTGCCCCTTACAGATGTCAGAGTCACAGGGCGGCCGAGGCTGTGGGCGGCAGGAAATCAGGTTGAGACATCACACCTTAAAGCTAAGCCATGAGAGAAGCTGTCGATCAGAAACCACACGTCTCTCTCTGCCAGCAGCAACCAGGAGACGTCAGACTAATCACCTCTCACACACTACTGCCACCATGCTGTAAATAAAACAGGAGGTGACATAACCGCTGCCACTTCACTCCATGAAAAGTAGGGTAGAGGAATGCAGGTCTAGCTGTGTGCAAACTCCAACATAAATGTGTCTCCAGGGGCTGTGACGGTGCAAACACATCACAATGGTGCAGGTTTGTCAATGTGAAGAGAAAATAAAAGTCATAGGAACATTTTTATGAGCTGGTTATTTATTGACAAAGCAGTGTTGGGAAACTCTCTGCTTTCTTACGACTCATGTCTACAGGCTGCTTACCAACCCAGGTATTGACAGACGTGTCAAGGTGCACAGTTACAGTAACACCCCTCAAAAGCTAGCTTATGTCATGGGAAGTAGGTCAGGAGGTGCTTTCCCACCAACCAGACCTTGAACAGGCTAACATTAGCCCTCTAATTAATGCTGCATTCATGTGTCTCCAGAAAAATCAGAGACCCGAAGCTGCAGACTTGTTCTTTGACTTCAGTGTGTGCTCAAGATATAAAAATGATGCACTATATTTAACTGAGCAGCCTAATGTGGACTGCTACAACTTCATTAAACTTTATCACAATGTTTGTGTTGAGATCTGCTTCCCTTTGTATTGTTTATAAAGAGGCCTTAAATAAATATTTGAGATGATTTTAATTCAAACTTATTAACTTTAATAATGCTGCGCTGCTTCTGCTAATTTCAAGCCATGTCCAAATAGATTGTCCAGTCCCTACAGATTATAGAAGTAGGAATATTTTGTCTGATTGCAGACTAAAACGCCCCCTTGTTCACCCCTGCAAAAGTGGCCCAAAAAGGCAAAAAAGCTCCTGTGATGCATGTTAACATGTTCCTCTATTTGTCAAGTTTTACCATCAAAAACACCAATAAATACAAAGTCTTGTGCACAGCCACAAGTCTCTTTTTCTCTACTTCTAAACCAGTAGATTTTGCATGGTCACTCAGAAAATAAAGTCCGTCTGTTCAGAGATGTTGAAGAAAATACTGGCCTCCTGTTCGATATAAAAGGCATGTTCAAACACAGAAACTAAACTATTTTAATATTCAGGCAAAAATAAAACAACAGTTCAGTCATAATAACAAATATTATACTCCTTTTTAACCAAGTTTGTTCAGCTAAATTCTGCTTACAGAACTTTTAATACAAACAGCTTTGTCTGCTCGAGCTCTAACCCAAACCAGCATTAACAGAAAACAGAAATTTAGTATTTAGTATTAAGTTACTCCCCCAATCAAAAAAGTACTACAATATCTCTCATTACAAATTTCATTAAATCTTCAACATTGCCTACCTTATTAAGACTGCAAAATTTAGAGCAAAATACTCCAGCGACACTGCTGCCATTCAGATATCATAGAAATAAGAAGTCGACACCAAAACGATGAAATCAATATGTGAAAATCTGATCAATCCTTTCCTCGACTTATTCTTCCTCAAAACAAAACAGAGAAAAAGTTCTGTCGTTTATCTCTACATATTAGGGGAATGTTAAAAACAAACCATACTAATAATATGCCAAAAAGTTAATTTTTTTAAACATTAATCGATTTAATCTCAAAACAGATGACATTATATTGATCAGTCGTGTCCTCTGATAATCTGTCAATGTTACTGAGTGTCTAATAAAGAAAGCTTTAATGTGAAAACATTCTCATTTTTCCTCAAACAGATTTTCTGCAGAGAGTCAAAGTCTCAGGATCTCATGGATTTACTGCATTCCCTCACTGCCTCACTTGTTAGCCTCTTATGCTAACACCAGGCTAATGCACCTGGCTAGCTAACAACGGTAACTGAACAAAGCCGGTAACCGGTGTAGGAAGCCCGATGGCCCGCCGGTGAACACACCGCTGCATCACCAGTTTGACCCTTTGAACACGATTCAAATATGTTCGGATATATTCAGATGACACCTTTATTTCACCTGAACTGTGATTGAAACGAGTAATGTAGCGAGAGCGCCCAAACACCCAACTGACATTTCCGTTAGCTTTGACAACCGGTGTTCCGGCAAATGGTGCTTCCCATCGAAATGTGCGACTAAACAGCTCTGCGCCTGCGTATAGCCACAAGCCAGGGCTTGACACCGATGAGAGCAGTTTTCGACAGAGGATGATTCCATCGAGACACTAACTACAATCTCGAATAAGAACTGTGTACTACAGTAGTAAAACATGCCCTCCAATTTTAGAAAAGATTATTGATTTAAGTATGAATGTTATATCTATAATTCTCTACTGCATGAATCATCTGATGGGGAGTCTGTTTAAGTGCGCTCTCCTGAAATATTCGGTCCAAATATCATCAAAATATTGATCACCTGTTTACCTGTGATCATTACAGAATGGGAGATTATAACATCTGCCATCGATTCGCGCTACGGTAGGATGCTTTTAACAAGGCTGCAGAACTCGTCAGAACACTGGCTTGATAAGCTAATGTTAGCATAGTTAGCTAGCTAATTGTCCCCTCCCCTCCAAACGAAACCATCATCCCCGCATCCAAACCGACATTCTCCCCAAATTAACAACAACAACAGCGTTTGTTAGTGTCAGCAGACACGGTACACAAACACACAAGAACACAAACATGTGAATGTTAGCCGGGTCAAAGGATACTGAGGCGGCGGTACCGAACCGGGCTGAGGAGGAGCTGCTGGGGCTCCCGGCGGCAGAGACACGGAGGTCAGGCTAGCCCGCAGTTGGCTCGACGGAGAGGGGCCACTTCCAGGTCCGCTAACTGCGACAGCGGCGGTGGGTTTGGAAACCACTTTCGGTGGTAAACTCATGGCAAAAAAACGAAGAAATAAAAACAAGATCTTTATAAATACAGAGAGAAAGAGCGGCTAGCGTTCATACATGGAGCAGCCGAGCCGATTCTTGAAGGCCCCGAATCCCTTTACCGAACTGAAGCTCGAACACAAACGTCTGTCTGTGTGTGTTTTTTTCATGGAAAGTCGCTGTTCGGATCAGCGGTGCTGTTCATGAGGACGGTGGGAGGTTTAGCCTCCCTCACCCGTCCGGAACCTCCGCGGATCCGGCTCGGTTCGTTTCTTTCAAAATAAATAATCGCCAAGATCTTCAACCTCCCTCGAAGATCTACCTTTTCTCGTCGACAAGTGTGTTTTCTATCATTTTTTCCTCACACAGATGGGAGACTTCGCCAACATGGCGTTGCGGCCGCTTCCAGCAGTCCGGGCAGGACAGATGATTCGGCAATTCTCGGCCAGTTACGGAATCACTCGGCTAATCAACTAACCTACAATCATAGAGCCGAGCCGAGAGAGAGCAGTGTTCACGTTTCCTTCTGTGTGGGAAAATGTCGTTTTCTCTCTTTAATCATCTTAGTTTATTTAAAGATTTTAAGTTTGTTTTTGTTGTTTTTGTTGAATTTGAGTCTCAGTCTAAAAACTATAACATAATAACTGACGGTGTCAATAATTAACCTTCTTTGAAACACGCTTGATAATGTCATTTTTGTTTATAAGTTGATTAAATGTCACTTATGTTTTCAGAGGTTTACTTAAATCCATGGCTGGAATCTTTTACATCTTTTATATTTTGCTTTTATACAAAGTTCTTTGCCCGACTTCTGCAGTAGGGATTTCTATGTTATTAGCGCCACCTACCGTTCGTCTTGGTGCTTCGCATCTACAAGTAAGCCCTGCCATGAGCTCCACAGACACTGGTTAAAATAGCTAATGCATCAATTATACCTTTGATTATGAGCAGAGAAGAATAAACACCTTTATTGGACACCTGTCATATTTACGGGGCAGCAACACTTTATCCTCCTTAAAGAAAAGGAAAATAGGCAAAATCAAAAATGTGAGCAACTCTGACAAGAGCCAAGTTGATATGGTTGGATGTAAGAGTCAGAGCATCTCCAAACTTTCAGTTCTGAATAGAAGTTCCTGATCAATACCTACCAGATACGATCCAAAACAAGAAAACTGGGGAACCGACGATGAGGCTCACTGAGACATAAACCAGCTGGTCAGTAAATGTTCATGTTGACTCTCAGACAGGTGTCGGGGGGCGGGGGGGACTACTACAATAAAAGAAGGGGGTCAGGAGGACTCAGTGTTGACCCGGATCTTCATCTATTTTAATTAGATGTCTTGATACCACTACGAGTGGAGTCCATGTCTGATCAAGAAAAGGACTGTTTTGGTCTTCAGCTGATGACGCCCTCTCAGCAGGTGGTCCTCATGTTACGGCTGACTGGTGTGTGTGTGAGAGAGAAAACTCGTGCTGGACACAAAGATGTTTTAAGATCATTTTACTATACAAAATAAACTGTGACAAACTCATCAAAATAAGATTGGCACAACATCCCTTTACCTATAAGACTGAGTTCTGAGTGAAAAATACACGGAGTTAAAGCTTCAGTTTGCTGCTGTGGATGTCTTCATTCCTTCATTCTGTTCAAACTTTACACAGTTACATCTGAATTATTGATCATTTCGTCCTGATCTGACTGCACAGAAAACAAATGCTGTTGTATTTAAAAACATGTGTTGAATTAAACGGCTTTAAAATCGTTTCGATGAACCAAATGTTGAATCTTCCTTCAAAAGTCCTACAGGTCCCTGCTGTGCTATATCATAAAAAATGTGATCATAAATAAAATCCGATTGAAGTAAGCAGATGAAAGTCAGGACAAGAGTTCAACGGGACCCTTGTCCACTCATCACTCCGAGTGACAAACAGGTAGTACACACATTTTAAGAGGGATTCCCCTTGTCATGGTAACCATTGTTGAGTTTCCAGTGTTGAAAAAGCAAAATTTAGAGAAGTCCTGAAGATGGTGGTCCTCAACCCAGAGCAGGAACTTTCTGCCCCGGTCGAGAGGAGGAGCCTGTTAAGCATAAAGTGGCAAAGCAGCAGGAGTTCAGTGGTTCTTATTTTTCCTCGTTTGAGGTCCGTCTCCCTCCGTACAGGAGAGCAGCATCATGAGACGAGGCCTCACCAAAGATCACACTTATGTTTGGGGTTCATCGGAGCGTCGGCACTGCAGCCAAAGTGCTTTGAGAATTCATGAGAGTTGGAAATGGTGCCGATGACTCTGAATCTTGATGGACTGTGAGGATCTGTGATTACTCCCTCGTGTACGCTCTCTGGTGTCCTGACCGAACACCAAACCTGCAGGAGGAACAAGATCGCAAAATAGGATCAACTTATCTGCCGCCAAAACCCACTGTGTACTTCAATCTGTTAAATGTCAAACATTTATTATTATTATTATTGTTATTATTGTTAAATGGGAATGAGGTCTAAAACTGGCGAGTTTCTCGTCAGAATCACCTTTCTGTAGAGAAACTGATTCTGCTTAAAACACTAAATCTGTAGGCGTTGGACCAGATTATGGTCCTGGATGTCTTCTGGTCCAGCTGGCTGTGAGTGAGCAGATTCTGAGGAGCAAAATAAGGAGGATCTAACAAGCAGAAGTGCGATTTAAAGACCCGTCGGGGGTCTCGTGATGCTGATTAGGTTTTAATTCACGTCTTGAAACAGATTTATTCGTGAACGTGCGCTCACTCTCCGCTCTCGTTTCTCATGTTTGAGCGCCAACACCACGACTGCGTCACACGTTTGTCTGTTGATGGTTTTGGATTCTTTCAATGAGGAGGAGGGAAAAGTAGAAAATGTTCATGTCTCTGAATTTCTGTGGAGCGTTTCTGGAAACAGCATCAGTTTGTATGAAGTATAATGAGTGAGAGAACTCTGAAGACACAAACCTGTGCAAATCCCACAAAAAACAGCTGATGGTTTGTCATCCCCAGGGCAGGAAGTGTGGCCTCCTCGCCGTTCCTTTTGATCCAGTTCACATAAGCCTGTGAAGCAACAAATGACCATGTTACACACACACACACGTCTGCTCATATGCACAGCGATAAGTCAACAGAAGGTGGAGAAGCAGGTAGTGCCGGCTGCTGATACTTCCATATGATTGGCTCATCTGCCGCTCAGCTCCTGACCTTTCATTACATGGAAAGAATGTGAAGAAGTAACCAGAGGCTGACCGGGCCGCTCACAGCAGCCACCTGTTGCATTTCCAGGCTTCACTGTAAACCAGACTACTCGGCTTTTTCCAACACAGATGAATGGATGTGAGTCCCGACAAATCAACGACAACAGAGAGATCGACGTCTGATACTTTTCTGACCTTGTAAACATTCAATCTGTTGGTGTCGCCTTAGCAAACACAGCGCTGTGCTGTGAACTTTCCATGACCATGTAAACACTTTAAACGGTCGGCACCGGTGGCACAGAGCCAGTTTCCTTCACGTAAAGAAAATATTAGAGGTGACTCATGCTTCCTGAGGGACAGCAGACCTTGTAGGCGGCCTTCAGTCCTCCGTTGTCAGCGATGTTTTCTCCCAGAGTTTGTCGTCCGTTCAGAGGCTCCTGGTTGATGCTGTAGTTTCCGTACTGCTCCACCATGCACTGCGTCTGCCTCTTGAACGCCTCCACAGAGGAGTTCTTCCACCAAGGACGCAGGTTTCCATCTTTGTCATACTCTCTCCCTGATAAAAATAATCATAAAGGAATTCAGACTAAAGCTCTAAATATTCTGATGTGAAACGGTTTAAAGAAGTTTGGTAACACACCTTGGTCATCAAAAGCGTGAGTCAGCTCGTGTCCCATGACGACTCCGATGCCACCAAAGTTCAGAGCTCTGGAAAGAACAAAATCATAAAAATCCACATGCAGCACACTCGTCTGTCTTCACGTTAGACTTTTTCAACATTACTCCTTTACAGTGACGTTACAGGATCTCAGCGTTAAATAAAAAGCTGCTCGTCTCTCCTAAAACAAACTCTTTTATCACTGTCTAGGATATAAACCGGTGTCTGGTTATTTCAGTATAACGTTTCCAAACAGAGGATCAGCCCTCTCTTTAAACTGACACCATGGATTTATACGGTTCATTTGATTGGTATTAAAAAAAGAAACTGAGTAAATTTGATATTATTAGGATTTACAGGATTGTGTGTAATAATGTGGATTTTTGCTCCTTTTTCACAAGTTAACAGGTAAATAAAACCTGAATCAGAAATAAACAGTTAAAACTTCAGTTTGGTTCATTCCTGCTTTCTTCAGTCCGACACTACAGAAAATCTGATCAGTCATAAAATCACATTTTTAATTATGTTCTTAATTATAAATGATGGATTATGATTATTATTATTATCTCTGTTTTACTCAAAGTTAAAGTTGACTACTTTTGTAAATAACCTTTAAAATCAAATCAAACTTTGCACCAGATTGACTGTCAAACCTTACAGACGACAAACTCGTTTCTTAATCTGTTAAAGTGAAATAAAGAAGCGTCACGACTAAGTCTGGACTGTTGCAGAGGACTTACTTTGGCCAGGAGCGGCTGTAAAACGGCGCCTGAAGGATACCTGCGGGGAGAACCATCTCGTTCTTGGTTGGGTTGTAGTACGCGTTCACGGTCGGAGGGGTCATGCTCCACCTAAAAAAGAAACAGAAATAATTGTGATTTAAATTTTTTTTCAGTTCCTAGATTGGTCAAAATGTTTGTTTCTCAGGTTTATATAACCAGCACACTTAGAGGGCGGGGCTGCCTTTGGCCGAGGGGCATGGTCATGTAAGGGGTGGTCATGTTGGGGGTGGTCATGTTAGGGACAGTCATGTTGGGGGTGGTCATGTTAGAGGCGGTCATGTTGGGGGCGGTCATGTTAGGGACAGTCATGTTGGGGGTGGTCATGTTAGGGACAGTCATGTTAGGGGTGGTCATGTTGGGGGTGGTCATGTTAGGGACAGTCATGTTGGGGGTGGTCATGTTAGGGGCGGTCATGTTGGGGGTGGTTATGTTAGGGGCGGTCATGTTGGGGGTGGTCATGTTGGGGGTGGTCATGTTAGGGGCGGTCATGTTGGGGGTGGTCATGTTAGGGACAGTCATGTTGGGGGTGGTCATGTTAGGGGTGGTCATGTTGGGGGTGGTCATGTTAGGGACAGTCATGTTGGGGGTGGTCATGTTAGAGGCGGTCATGTTGGGGGCGGTCATGTTAGGGACAGTCATGTTGGGGGTGGTCATGTTAGGGAACGTCATGTTAGGGGTGGTCATGTTGGGGGTGGTCATGTTAGGGACAGTCATGTTGGGGGTGGTCATGTTAGGGGCGGTCATGTTAGGGGTGGTCATGTTAGGGACAGTCATGTTGGGGGTGGTCATGTTAGGGACAGTCATGTTGGGGGTGGTCATGTTTGGGGTGGTCCTGTTGGGGGCGGTCATGTTAGGGGCAGTCATGTTGGGGGTGGTCATGTTAGGGGCGGTAATGTTAGGGGCGGTCATGTTAGGGGTGGTCATGTTAGGGACGGTCATGTTGGTTGTCAGTCGTTGAGTTTCTGCAGTATTTCCGTGCAGACTGTCAAAGACGGTTGAGTCGTCAGTCATTAAAGGTTTTACAGCCTTTTCTTCTCTGTGTTTTTATTCTTAAATATTTTTACTGTAAATCTGTCGAGTAAAATCACAGATTTATAACAAAGTTTTAATCCGTCTGAGTTTTTCCCAACTTTTTGGGAGTTTTAAGAGAATCTTTGGAGACAAAGGTGGGAGAACTGTCACCGAGTCCAATCAGAGACGAGGATCACTTTGACAGAGAGGAGCTGGTTACCATGGAAACTTCAGAGGATTCTGCTGAGTCAGCCCTCCTCTCCAGCAGACTGGGACTTGAGGATGAAGGGGGGAACTTACTGGTTTCTGTTTGGGGTTTTCCTCAGCTGGTCCGCGGTCACTCTGCCTGAGAAGTTGTAGTACTGCATGACGTTTTGAAAATAATGTTCTGATACCACCTCGAACTGCAAAAGAAGGAAGAAAACGTGTTGTTGAAATGTTTCCTGAAGCGTTTGAGGATAAAGAGGCGGGACTGTTCTCTCCTGATCGACCTACATCATTGTACACTTTGTCCAGCTTTGTGGCGTTCATGATGAACTCTGGATATCCCACCATGTTGTATAACGCGTCAGCCTGTGAGAATCAGCAGCAGATAAAAACTGTATCAGACACATTTCCACAGCAGGTGGCAGCGCTGCATTTCAGCATGAAAACAAACTCCTATCAGGTGTTTGTTTCAGAAGAAGAAGAAACTTTTTAACGCAGACACAAACGTCTTCATCCACCTTTTCTTTGGCTGCCTTTTTGGTCTCTGCGTCCATCCAGTTCACGTACTTTATGCCGTCCTCAAAGGCCGATTTGATTTCCCCGACCATGTCTTCAGCCTGAGTAAAGACACAAATATCAGTCAGACCTCTTTCCATCAAAGCTCACGGCAGGAGAATATGTCAGGATGGAAAATGACTTACAATAGACTTGCTGTCCTCGGCAAAAGTGTCTTTGACAAACATGGCTCCCAGAGCGAAGCCCAGAGCGCTGTCTGTGTCGCTGACGCACAGCTTCCAGCGCGGCGTGCAGCTCTGCAACGACAAGAGAACGAATCAGGAGATGCTGAGGGAGAAGAAAGGGAAGGTAGAAGGTCTGACAGTTTACAACTAAATTCTTCACATTAGGCACAAATCATTCAGGAATTCACATCGTCAGAAAGGCTTTTGCAGTAAAACAATGTTTAATGTGGAGTCTAAAATACCATGAGCTTATAAAAGAAAAGGAAGTACGAACAAAAACGCTGCATTACAATCGTGGAAACCATGTGACATAAGCAGGACAACCTGATGGTGGGGCGGAGCCACGGAAACTAGTTTACAGGAGGAATAAAGTTCACGAGACAAAAACATACTGCAGAGAGAGACGAAGAGCAGCAGTCAGAAATATCCTGAAAAATGTGTCTGTCAGAATAACGCACAGGAGCCGCCGCCGACCTTCAGTTTGTAAGAAGGTTTTTCTTTTCTCTGTGTCGTCTGCTTCACTGAGTCACTTCACCTCCCAGAATAACCATGACGACAATTACAGGACATGAATGAACCTGTAACAGACCGCCGAGGGTTAAACGGGACGTGAACCTGTAACAGAGCGCCGAGGGTTAAACGGGACGTGAACCTGTAACAGACCGCCGAGGGTTAAACGGGACGTGAACCTGTAACAGACCGCCGAGGGTTAAACAGGACGTGAACCTGTAACAGACCGCCGAGGGTTAAACGGGATGTGAAAGCGTGAGAGAGGAAACTGAGGTCAGGCTGAAACCAGAGACAAAAAAACAAGAAGAAGAAGAAGAAGAAGAAGAAGAAGAAGAAGAAGATCTGAGCGGGGAAGAAGGTTTATGGTTCAACAGACACAGAAACAGATTTTCTCTGGTTTTCTTCATATCGATAGATAATGACTTTATTAATCATTGATTATTGTAGTTTCTCTCTCTCTCTCTGATCCAGCTGCAGTCTGTTTTTGTTTTTTTATTCACTCGCTGTTATAATGTAAAAACGAGGATATTCACCTGCAAACACACAAAAACGGACAGACTGTTCTTCCATCTGAAGACCTCTGAGACGCTTTTCTGTTATTGCGTCTCACCTATTGCATGCTGGGATTATTCACTGAGCCTATGACTCTGAACACCGAGTTTAAGAGTTAAAAGAAGTTTTTCCTCATAAATATAAACTTTTTTATCTCCATTAACCCTAACCCATTAAGAGAGTTTTTTTGTGGTTATGAAACAGGTTCAAAATAAAGCGGATGTCCTTTTTGTGACCTAAAAAAGACCCTAAACAGACTTCTTCTTCTTCTTCTTCTGAATCTATCATCCCTGAGGTCATGTAAGAATCTGCAGATAGGAAGAGCCTTTGTTTATGTTTTCACACAGTGAGTAATAAAGTTGGACAGATGGAGGAAAACAGGGCGAGACGAAGACCAAACATGACAGGAAACAGATAAACGGACAGACCTGCTCATCTCCTCACCTCACAGACCTCCGTTTAATCATTATTCTATAATCTTATTACAGATTTACTTTAAAGCCACACTCACCAAAGGTCTGAAACAGACAAACTTCAGTTCTATTCAACACCACCAAACACAGGACCACCCAGTCTGCAGGTGAACTTTAACCCGACACCACCAACCAACAGTTTCCTCTCCATGTTCTGGATGAAGATGCTGTTAAAGAGCTGATCTCTGACACCGCTCTCACCCTCATCACGGTCTCATTCAACAACAGCCTCAGACTGGACATCAGATTGGACTAGAAGAGCGTCAAAAACACCTCACTCTAAAACTCAGGTCAGCAGAGTTTCTGATATTTAGACCCACAAAAACACTGAAGACTGATAAAGTCGTCTGCAGCATCAGAGCAGAAATTCAGGACTGAAGAGGAGGAAACAGTCACTGTTACAGGAGACATCAGCAGAAACACGAGATTTACTCCAATCTGGTCAAAAGTTCCTGACAGGAAGTAGAAAAACAAAGTTTGTAAAACTCAGAGCGATAATGAGCCGGCTGATCGTCCTCTGACCCCTGAGCTCCGTGTTTTTCAGGGAAATGGAGCCGTTATCTGTGACTGAGAGACGCCGTGTTCTCGCTAAAGGACAAACTGTTTCCTTTTTGTTTTGGACAAAAACTTTCTGCCTTTTTACAACCAAACCTGAAAACATAAAACCGGCTCTACAACCAGCTGATCACCCAGAAAATCTCGACTTTGACTTCAGTTAAAGTTTCCCACTGAAGCAGCTGAAGCATCGACGAAAAAGTCCCTTTATGACAAACTGAGAGACATGTTTGCAGAGACAGAGAGGAAACGAGGAAACGAGGAAACGAGGAAGCGAGGAGTGATGATGGTCAAGTTGTAAAGTCAGAGATGGAAACAGAGACACAGCTGCAGCCTCACATGGACCCTCAGAGACGATCGAACTCCTGCGTTTGTTTTTACAGCTTGACCTCGGCTGGAAACAGGATCTGAGGCCGATAAGAGCCGAGGGGGCGGAGTCTTCTCAGTCACACAGAGAACAAACCGCTGTGTGGACACTTTCAGAGGGACACATCATCGATAATAATCGGATTTATCTCGATCAGCAGAGCGGCACCTTCAGGAAAAGATGAGTACTTCAGTTCTTCTTAGTGGAAACAGAGACAGATCCTCACACGTCAGTTTTTATTTTCATAAAGTCAAAGGAAACGAAGAACTAAACTGTCATCTGCAGTTTGTGTCTTTTTTCAGCCTCCGGGCGCCTGTTTCTATTTTCCACCTCTGCGTACGGTCGTGTAAGAACAGCAGGTGAGAAACTCTGCAGACACAGATGTTTGGATTTGGAAAACTTCCTCTCCTGGGAAGAACCGACCTTTTACCAAATTCAACATGACCGGCGAAAGTCCGCCGGATTAAACCTGAACGGAGCAACGTTAAACTCCTCTTTACACGAAAACGGCGACTTAATTCAACAAACACACAGAAACGACGTTATCTGGAGGAGGCGTGCTTTATCCCGCTCTGCGCTGAAATCCATCCACGTCACGCCACAGCGAGAGCGAAACGGTCAAACTTCATCCCTCACCTTCTTTGTCCCGGACAT